AGTTAAACAACCCCGTATATTTCGGAAAATCATTTGACTACCTTCCCGGTTGCATTTTTAGGTGAAATTTGGTATGAGTAAACTAGACTTAATGAGGAAGATGCTCAAAAAATTTCATCAAAAAATTCCATCGGGAACCACCCCAAATGGCGTCGGCCGGACAGAGCATCCTAAATATGACCTTATTTGACATTTTTTTTCGAGTTCGAGGCCCTATCTGACCCTTATCCCTTCTTATTCCAATCCGCATCCACAATACAAACAAACTTCTGTAAATCTCTTTGTGGTTATGCTTCAATTTCGTATCAACAATCAAAAGCTTATCATACAATCCATATAAACCATACACTTCAACAAATTGATCATTTTAAAAGCTAAAGAACCATATGCATAGATTTGATTTAGAGAAGTGCATTATTCCCTAGAAGAACACATACATTTGCAATACATCCAACATTTACAACATATATTTTTTGAGACGTAGAAATGGCTAGTTTAAGAGGGGCTATTATCATTGTCGTCCTCATAGCACTCGTTTCAGCATCCACACATGTTTTTGTTGCGGCAAAGGAAACAAGTTTTGCGGATAGGAAGTTACTCTCAGAGCCGGCAACCGAAAACAAATTGTTATCACAATCCGCTAGCGGAGATGTATCACTACCAGATCCATCTAACAAATATAACCGAGGTTGCAACGCCTTCAATCGTTGTCGTAACGGTGATAGAAGGCTTTAGAGCATTCTACTGGCCAGGTTCGTGATTGGGCGGTAGGACTTAACCGATGTTTTTACTTGGACTGTAATTTGTCTCAGACCAGATCAGACTAGACAAGACGAGACCAGCAAATTACAGTCCAAGTAAAAACAAACTCCTAGCCCCAAAAATCTCCTTTAAAGTTAAATGGCGAATGTTGCTTAGTTACTTTGTGAATAGAAACAATGTATTTAATTTCTCTGCCAAGAATACCTTCATGTACATTTTGTAAATAATTAGTAGATGTAGATTACATTAATGAATATTGAAATATTTTGAAATTTAATGGAAAATGGAGTTATGGACTACATATGATCAAATTATTCAAAAGCACAACACATTTGACTTATGCAAACGCAACAAGATGTAGGTAGAGACCCTTAAAAGGAAAAATATACTACGTAATGAATAACAAATCATGCAGTGTGCGTGAGGTAATCTCTGGACTTGGTACGACCTACCGGCTACCACACGTGCAATGAATATTCTGCAATAAAAACAAAAAACTTTAAGAGAAATCAAAATCAAAATTTAGATCAAAGCATTAGTCCAATCAAATCGGTGATTTTCGCTTCCGATAACTTTTTCACCAAACACGTAATTTTTAATTTCGATTGTTGAATTGTGTAATAATAATAAAAAGTAAGGTTATCCTTTTAGCTATTTTCATATATTTTTTTCTTTATTTTGTTATTAAAAAATATTTTAAATATAATTTTTTCTTAAGTCAACAGAATCATTTATTGTAGTCACTTCAACCAGAACTTCATAAATTTCAGCACAATAAGTTCATTCAGGCAATATCAATGTTACCAAATGGACTCAAATATATGAGAAGAGGTAATAAGATATGGAGAGATGAAAATGCTTGATGCCGTAACCCCCTATTGTCAAAACTGCTCCCCTTCAAATAACCGACCGATAACCGACCAAAAATTTTAATTGGAATGACCGACCGATAACCGACCGATAGTATAACTCTAACCGACCGAAAAACCGAAGTTCGGTTTCGGTCGGTAACCGAAAAACCGACCATAACCGAACATGTAGAAATATTTAGCATTTTTTTTTATTTAAGGTGGTTCCCGGTGGAATTTTTCTATGAAATTTTATAAGCATATTCCTACTGAAGTGTATATAATCTCCACCAAATTTCAATTTGAAATTCCATCCGGAAGTTAGTTAAATAAATTTTTGAAAAATATTGCGTTTTTATGTATTTTGGCGCTGTAAATTGGAAAAAAATATTTAACTGACTTCCCGATTGAATTTTACGGTGAAATTTAGTGGAGATAATCTATATTTCATAAGGAACATGCTTATAAAATTTCATTAAAAAAATTCTACCGGGAACTACCCCAAATAGTGTTTTTAGTAAAGCTTTATATATTTTGGTCGGTTATCGGTCACCGACCGATAACCGATAACAATAACCGAATAATAACCGATTAACCGAAAAACCGAAAGTTTAAATTTTTAACAACCGATAACCGACCGAAAACCGAATTTTTCGGTCGGTTCGGTCATCGGTTTTCGATTAGATCGGTTGTATCGGTTATTTGCTCACCCCTACAGTAGACCCATAAGGTCAAAATGAACACCCACAATTCCACAATATACGATAGTATATCTAATTCTAAACAAAATTCTTGGAGCACAAAACAATGCCCCCGTCAACTTTTCTCAACCTGAGTTTAATTTGTAGTGCCTAAGGTCCTAAGCTACTCTTCCTCGTACATCCATTTTGGCTTCAAACTTCATCCCTCGAGTCTCATCCCCTTCCAGAGACTAACCATTTGTTTCTTATTCCAACCTCTCCCATTATGATGATTTAATAAATATTAGTTAATTTAGACCCCGACATATCACAAATTAAAAAATTGGCTTAATATATTACTAGTATAAAAAATTCAATGTAAAAAAGTTTAAAAAACAATCTTGTGCAAGCCCAGTCTCGGCCTGTGCCCTGCTGCGTGGGAGGATTCTAGGCCGGTGATTGATTGAGACACTTTGACTCACTCAAGAGCTCTCCTCAACATTCTCATATAAATGAGAACCTTTTCTATACTAATCTCATCAAAACTTCTCTAAAATTTGTTATGCACCACTACACATCTACATTCTTCTAAGAAGTATCTACATGCTTCTCTATTCTCCTGGAAGGATTTTAAGAGTTCGACAATTCTTCAAAATGTTTTAGATGATTCCACACACTTCAACACGACTTTAGTGAGTTTCACACTTCTCTAGATAACTCCGCAATATTAATTTAGAACATTCAATACTTCTATACACACATATAGAGAATCCTAGACATTTTTGCAAATACTAAAATTCTCAAGAAAATTCAACACAGTCTCAAAAATGTTTTATTCTTTTTTATTGCAAGAAACATGACAACATATTTGTCAATCTCAATACTTTCTTGCTCACTATAACCACAGAAATCCAACACGTATTCCATTAAAGGTCTAAGACAATTAGTCTATACCTACATTCAAATGAATGTGGTAGGCTGCAACCAGTTTTTGTATTCCTAGGGACACGTTTCCAAAAAGTATCTGCCTTTTATTTTAACATTTAATATATAATTGTCCCTAATTAGTACTCTGTATTTATTTTTGAAAAAAAGAAGGGAGCATAAAATATTGGGAAAACAGTCAAATAGGTCCTCGAACTTTCATAAAAAGGTCAATTAAGTCCTTCTATAGGAGGTTCTGTCCGGCCATCGCGATTTGGGGCAGTTCCTGGTGGAATTTTTTGATGAAATTGTTTTACCATCTTATTCACCAAGTATAGTTTACTCATACCAAATTTCAGCTAAAAATTCAATCGGGAACACATTCAAATTAATTCTTGAAGATAACTGTGCATTTTTGCGTTCTCGAATTAATTTGAATGCGCTCCCGATTGAATTTTTAGCTGAAATTTGGTATGAGTAAACTAGACTTGATGAATAAGATGCTCAAAAAATTTCATCAAAAAATTCCGCCAGGAACCGCCCCAAATCGCGACGACCGGACAGAGTTTCCTATAGAAGGACTTAATTGACTTTTTTATGAAAGTTCGAGGACCTATTTGACAGTTTTCCCTAAAATATTTTAAAGTAGTAGGAGTACTAAATTGTTTGGCCCGAAGCGGGGGCACTTGCCCCTCCATGCCCCTCCAGTGAATACAATATATCAATAATACACCTGGCATTGTTACCTCAGTCCAACGCAATGATTCTAGTCTCAACCATCACCCGACATACTTGTTTCCACTCATATACACATACAAATTAAAGGGATAGAAGTAGAACTTGTTGAATCAAGTTTTCTCAAAAATAAAAGATAGGAGTAAACTGTCCGTAGGTATTTGGTCTCAGCAGCGGGAAATCATATCGGAAGCTTTGTCCAGGGATGGAAATCATCAATTCATTTGTGAATAGCGTTTTAGCGTGATTTTTTTCTGGAAATTTGGCTAAATGGATCAAAAAAAATCCACAAAATTACAAATGTAATATTGGAAACAAGGATCCGAAGAAAAAACTTTGACTTTTTGTAGGAAGTGCTTGCAGAAAGACTAAACAACCTAGAAGATGAAAAAAGGTTTTTCAAATGTGTGGTGATAGAAGATTCACTTTCCCTTTGCTATTTGAAGTTCTTCCCCGATTGTGGCTGGTTTCTAGCCTTTCATGCAGCAACGCTGGAAGATAGGGACTACAAAGGCTTTCTTCCGAAGTTTTTTGTTGCGTTGTGCGGGCTCCCTCCATGGCCAGCTACCGGCAAGGTTGTGTAACATAAATGTTACTTAGGGGTTGAAATAATTGGAATAAACCATTAGTATAATACTCTGTATTTACAATTATGACCTTGTTAAACAAGGTCATAATTGGAATGTTTTGTTAATTACGAATATGAGGGGCTGTATAGTAAATATGAGGCTGTAAATAGAATCAACCTTTTGTCTTTCTTCCTTAACAATAAGGATGTTAGACTAGACTATTTTACTGCGCAATTAGTGATCGAAAAGGGTCAATGTGACCTTTTTTGTTCTATGCCTCGTCTCATATATTGTAGTCTTAGACTATTCATTTACTGATTAACTCAAATCCGTGCTCTTTGATTTGAGTTAAATTGAAGAGTATCACCAATAGGGCCATATATTAAATTTGGAGGCCCTGATTCCAAACGACGAATTGAGCCTCCCTTAACAAGGCAGAACACAATATTTAATAATGAAATACAAATAGAGTAAATAACTTAATGAAATATAAGTTTTATAATGGTTAAAGTACACAAATTAGACCGTGTTAAACTTATCTACTTTTGATATTTGAAATAATAAATACTCCCTCCGGCCCATTTTGGTTGTCCTACTTTCTTTTTTGGGTTGTACCAAAATGAATGTCTTGTTTCCTTTTTTGTCATGAAATATGTGGTTCTTATCAATTCACTTTATTCTACTCAAATCTCAACTACAACTTTTACTTTTCAACCACTTTATTAATAATCGTGTCAAATTGAAAGTGGACAACCATTATGGGACGGAGGTAGTAACATCTAGCTAGAAATCAACGTATAACTACTACATATTCAATTTTTGAGGGGCCTTCTATAAAAGTGAATCCCGCTACTGTTAAGCACCTATCACACAACCTAAAAGATTGGCCTGGCCATGTATGGGTAATCGTATGTATACGGGAAATCTATGTGTACAATATTGCCTAACAAAAAATGCAACAAAATTGGTTTAACTTCAACTATGGAGTATTATTTACTGTCACCAACTAATATATCAATAAGATCTCTTCAAATACATGAAACCGTTGGACGAGTCCAAGCATTCAGTCACCCTATTCTTGTACACATTCATCATCTTCAACAGCTCTGTTGCTTTCTCCTTTACTTTTTCTCCACACCCAACTTGCAACACCACCAAAAGCTTCTGAAAAGCTCCCAACTCTAGAGCTTCAATGGTGGCAGCCCTTTCCTCCTCTCCTTTGGAAAGCTTCCACATGGCCGAGATACAGTGCTCGGTCCCCAGCTCAGAAACCCTCATGATCTTCTTCACCAACAATGGCATAGTCAACGGATGACCATACGCTTTCTCTCTCCCTTCTTGGCACGAACATACGACGTCAAGAATGGTCAACGCCTTCTGGCACACGCTTTTGTCGGCGTCCACCAGGAGTTCCAGGAGGACGGAGACTAAGCCTGCGTGTACCAGTTCGGCAATGACATTCGTTTCATTGGGTTTCCGGTGTGGGACTTCAACAATCATGTGATGCATGATGGTGAGGGAGGCTTTGGTGGCCGTGTTAGCGGAAGGGTAAGATGGTAACTTCACCATCTTCAGCAAAGACTTCGGGAGACTTTGGTCAACTTCCAGTAGCGCGTTTGCGTACGTTTGGTCCGATGAAATCAATTCTTTGAGGACTAATAGCGCGTTTTGATTGGCCGGTAAATCCTCGTCTCTACCGTTCAAAAACCATGCCATGCATTGTAATGACGCTTTTGCCCCTAGCGTTGACTTTCCTTCTTCCCGGAGTGGGAACATCCATGCTAGGATGGACAGCAAATCTCTCAACAGATCGGAGTGTTTCTCCATCGACGCGCCGGCGAAGAACTCGAAACATGCCGATATGGCTACTCCGGTGCCACCGTCGTCTCGGATGCATATCTTGTTCCGCTCGCTCTCCCTACCCCAGACCTTAATCTTCCCGACCAAATCCCGGCATCTCGTACTGTCTCCAACACGTGTCGCGGCGTCGATCGCCGCGCAGATCGCCGAGATTTGGGAAGGGCCCACCGGGACCCGCGGTGTCGGGATTCTTTCCAACCCGTAGGACTTGTTTTCCACGCACCAATCTTGGATCATTCTTCTTATGGAGTGGTTCGGGATGAGGTCGTAGGTTTCCAAAATTTGGTTGGTCAACGGGCAGGTCTTGTTTCCGGCCTCCAGCCACCTCTCGATGCTTTCCCGGTCGTACGTGATTCCGGTGGACAATGTGACCGGATCCTTCATCAGGTCAAGCGAAACCGGGCAGATGAAATTACTGGGTGTGGTGAGATCTCCCGGAGAATCGTCTGGCCGGGAAATCTTGTTTTTCCGGCCGTTGTGGCCGCCGGCAGCTCTACGCAGTCTGAAGAAGAAAGTCATTTGCAATCGCAAAATAATGAATTTGATAAGTGTTCGTTGGCAAATGAAAGTTTCTATTTTAATTTGTTCCTTTTTATGGAAGAGAATGGAAGGAGAAGTCGTCTATTATATATGCATACATACGGCTTTGTAATGGGTCAAATGTAGGAAGCAAGGAAACGTTCAAAATGTTAAAGTTGAAATATGAGGGGGGTTGAACGTTGACCGTTGATTTAGTGTTTAAAATGGGCAGTGTTTCCCATCGTTCTCTGAGCTGGCCACGAAATATTTCACATGTGGTATTAATTAAGGGATATTACTTTTATTTTTATTTATTTGGTGAGCAATTTCTATATAATTAGTTATGCTTATTACTCCGTATATTTTACGTTGTACGATAGTTTATGTTAACTATCACTTTTTTTTTTTAATGTTGTTAACTACGTAGTACTCCGTACTATGTACGATAGTATTTCTTTAGGACAAGGAAAAACTGTCGGTATAGGTTCAAATAATTGGAATTATCAATTTAAACGTTAATTAAAATGCAGTGATAGTAAAATTCTTTTATGCTTAATTATGTAAGAGTATAAAGTTTAATTACATTTTTGCTGAGTTCTTTTGAAAGAAACTAATTTATTTCGATTTATCGATTTATCGATAAGGATAATAAAATACATAACCATCAAAAGCCAAATCTTTTTGTTCCTACACTAAGGTGGGAATAAGAACAAAAAGACCGGCTTATAAAGCCTCTCTTGTTCGCTAACTCTGCAACCAGTAGAGTCGTATTGCAGTGTGATTGTTCATGCTACTCGAAACGAGTCCGGTTTGACCAGCCACCCAAAAAGAATTTTTAAATTTGTCGGTTTTGTCAGCCACCAGTAGGAAGTCAAATGTAAAAATTATTTTGATTTCATCATACACCGGAAAGAAAACGGTTCAAAAGGGTGGCGATCAGCCTCAATATTGGTGAAGAAATCTAGATTCATATATGATTGATGAAAAAATCAATACAAATCTCTTACTAGCATACAAGAACACCCAACGGATGATGAAGGAGAATATACATATGGCAGGCGATATTTTGTTACAAAAAATAAGTATCACTAGACAACGCTAGAATAAACATATAGGTAGTATTGAAAATACTGATTAAACAAAATCTTTTTCATGACTGAAGCCAAAAAACATTGAAAGAAGTGAAGAAAAGAAGAAAAGAAGAAAAGACATTCACCAGGATTCCTCAAATTAATGTAATTTTTTTGAGTTAGAATTTGAAGAGGTAGCATCTTTAAAGTGAGTATCGTAAATACGGAGTAACAGACAAATATTAACGTATCAAATATTAACATATCAAATAAAGATACCATTAGTATATACTCTGCAACATAAAGTCAACATATGAATATGATTTACATCGTGTATATATTCTAAGATAAGTTATTAACTACTTCATACTGAAAATGAAATTATTATTCTTTTTTTTACAATTAATAAATATAATTTGTGTCCAAACCTTGAATACAACTTATGAATTAAAATGGTAGTCGATGCAAAAGTTTATGTGATTCACAAAGCCTACGTACATGAATCTGATTTTCATAGAGTATAAATGGGAACATAATCTCTTAATCTATATGCATGTATTCTAAAAATGTAGACAATGTTAAAAAAATAAATTAAAAACATCAAATTGATTTTATTACTATTTAATAAATAATTTTGTATTAAAATAGCTGAAATAGTCATATTCATCAAATTCATTATAAAATTAATTTCAACTTTACTTATTTTGATTAATAGTTGAAAAAATGGCCTAGATATTACTCTCCAACTTCATCAGACAAAAATATGTCTCCTTTTAAAATTGCCAAAAAAGTCACCCTCCCGTTTATGTTCCCGTCCAGATCGATCTTCTCTCTTCGATCCCATTTCTCTTTCTGTCCAAACAGCTCCAGTCCTCCAGCAATTTCTCTTCCGACGCCCGGAAGCAACATTTAGGAGTCCATCTTCCTTCAGCAGGGTCCGAAGTCTTCACTCTTCGCCGGTCATGCTCTCTGCTACACCACATCGGAAGTCCCGAGGCTCTTCTCTTCGTACGGCTAAGCTTCCATCTTCTTCAACGATCCAAGCCGCCATCTTCTTTGACAGTCCAAGCCGCCATCTTCTTCGCTGATTACCGGCTTTGAGATCCAGATCAATTTTCAGATCTGAGTTCCACAGGGGCGAGGATGGAAGGTAGGGCGATGCTTGACGGTTTGCGGTGCGGCTTTGCTGGTGGAGCTGTGGCGCGACATGGTTGGTTGGGGCTGGAATGCGTCATTGCTGGGCAAGGCTATGGGGTGTTGTGGGGCTGGGGAGATGAGACGAGCCAGGGAGATGGGGTGGGGGAGCTGGTGGTCGGGCTGGGGGCCGGGGGCTGGGGAGGGGAATTGGGGATGGGGAAGTGGGTGGGGGCTAGGGCATGGGGCTGGAGCGTGGTGGTGCCGGAGGTGGATGCAGGGGACGCTGTTGGTGAGGCAGGTCGGGCTGGGTGAGGAGGTTTATGGGGTTACATTATGATTTTTAGGGAGTCTGTTCGATGGGCAGGTAAGGTGGTGCGGTGGTGACTGGCCGGGGCTGAAGGTTAGGTATGGGGCTGCGGACTGGCGGTTGAGTGCCGGGATGATGTGGGCTGGGGGATGGGATGTCAAGCCGGGGTGGGGTGGTGGTCTGCGGCGGCTATACACGATGATGGTCAGGCGGTGGTGGTCCATGGTGATGTTCGGCGGCAGCTCTAGGCGGGGTAGGCTGGTGACGGGGTTGTGAGGAGCAGAGGAAGGATGGGGAGACGGTGTCACTGTGACCAGAGTCGACATGTCACTGTGGTGGTGTCACCATGACGGTCGTGTCATTACAGTGGTATCACCGATGGCGGTCGTGTCACTCGTGTGGTGTCACTGGAGGCGGTGTCACTGGTGGTGTCACTGTGGTTGACCCGTGGACGGGCGGTAAACCCCGCGGAATATAGTCACTATGATGTTGTCACTGTAAAATTGTTTTAGTGGTGTCACTATAACACCGTCACTGTAGCAATGTCACTGTAGTGACATCACTATACCGCGTACTGTAGCATGGACACTGTACACCGTTACTGTAGCGCGGTTACTGTAGCTCCGTTAATTTTACTCACTTTTTTGTAAAATTAAATAAAAGGTCACTTTTTTGACAATCATCCACTTATTGATAATATTAAGGTCAAAACCCCTTAATAGTTTAATACATAATTTAGAGTGCGAAATAAAAAATTAAATAAATGCTTGGTAAAAATTCTTATTAAGCATATGAGCCGGAAAAAATTATCAAATCGGCTCTATTTTTATAAAAACTATAGTAGAATAATTAACGTATTATTCTTACGTGGACAGTGGCCCGATCCATGTTGCTCATTCAATTATAGTGCTTTATTATTATCTATATATATATATATATATATATTAATCCGCATAAGTGCGTTTCCGGCTCATGACTAGGGACATTTGCTTAAATACGACTAATATCTATACTCTTAGAAATTAACTCGCATTTACGTAATCTCTCATTTGCGACCGCTCTTCCACTCTTTTTCTTCTTCTGCTTCCTTCCGACGTTTACTCCCATTCTCACGAAAACTCTCAACGACCCCGAGCTCTCGATTCATCTAAATAATATGAAGCGAATTTTTGTTCATCCATCTCACACCAATCTCACAATTGTACAAGATAACAGGTCTTCAAAACCGTAGTCCATAATCTTCGAAGAATTCTTCCCGTTCTTGACGGCTTCTTTAAATCATAGTTCTTCCTCGCACAAAGCATTGATTACCAGGTTAGTGTACTCGTGTATAGGATCTAATTCTTCGATTCATGTATACAACTTAATCCTCCTACTTCGTTTTTAGAGTATATTGCTATTTACTAGATTAGTATTCGTGTAAAGAAACATGGAATTTTTGTAACCACAACATTTGATAGTTGCTCATTTGCTTAATTTGCAGGCGCCAGTTACTCCCTTTCGATCTCCAGTTATCTTTTATTTTTTCAGGTATCCTGCTTTCCTCTGCTAATTTGATGATGTTTTCGGACTTCTAAGATAAATACAGACTTTATCTTTTCTGTCTTCTACTAATATACTTGGAGTCTTGGAGAGTTCATCTCAACAAACCTCACAATTGTTTGTTAGTATTATAATCCGTATGTAACATACCTTGAGCTTATTCATCATCTAACTTAAATTCCTCCAAGCTCTATTTGAAAACTTAAATATGAGGCTTAAATTTGAGGCTTAGGTATTATAACTATATCTAATCTTCACCCTATTTTACTGTTCTGGCCATTGTAGTTTATATCAGAAACTATTAATTTCTCTAATGGATACGTGGGAAACCTGTGAGATACCTGCGAGTATGGAAAGGTGGACCGAGAGCAAACATCAAAGACTATAAGAGCCAGAGAATCAAAGTAGTGCTCTGCCTGGGACGTGGGGTTAGCACCTATTCCCTTTCTTCTGCTGAAGATGTCGAGCAAGTTTCACTCCCTATCTCACCAATTGAGATTAACAAAGTTTGACTTCCACTTAAAATCATAAAATGATAATTATGTAGTCCCATACAATGCTTGATAAACTAAAAGTTATTAAATGTGTGAGGCAGTGCTTTAAGAATACTATAGTTGCTCCTCTTTTTATATAATTCTTTTCTTTTCATTTTGGACTTCAATATAAGAATAAATAATGACAGATAGATGAAGTCAAATTATATTATCTGAATTTTAATTTGGACTCTAAGTTGATATCTTTTACAGTTACATCACGTTAGTCAAATTTGCTCCTATAACATATTAGTTTTGTTTTTATTTAATCACTTACATTTATTCTTTGGATGCAGTGTGTATGCGTGCCAGTTTCGTAGTTTATCAGAATCTCTTGATTCCCTAATTGATACGAGGGAAGCCTGCGAGATACCTGCGCGTCTGGCAACTACAATATAGTCAATGTTGCTTTCTTGACCGTGTTTAGGAATGGTCAGAAACTGGTCCTGAACCTAGCCGGCCATTGTGATCCTGGCAGCAATGGGTGCACCTG